ATGCGTCAAAGCGCCACAGCACGAGATAGAGGCAAAGCAAGCTTTTTGAGCCAAACTGTGGTGAAACCTACTAAGTCACGCAAGCAAGGCCTCAAACTCAACTGTGCTTGACAAGAAGCTACTAGTAACAACGGGCATCGCTACTAGGAGCAAGAAGCTACTAGTCGTTCCTGGCATTACTAGTAGCAAGAAGCTACTAGTAGCTAGAAGCTATTAGGTTGGAAACGCAAGCAAGGCCTGAAACTCTGCGCCAAACTATATACTGTAATGCTAAAATGATTTAAAGCCACGAACCCGCATACAACACACCTATTGCAAGAACTGCTGATTCAGAAACACAGGAAGTCGCACCCATATGTGACGTCTCAGAAGGCGTTCTCTTGCTATTCGTCACTTGTTCAAAATAGAAAGACCCGCCCCTCAAAAAACACAAGAAGAAAGCATCTGGAAAATCAACGAACTTGAACGTTCTGCCTGCAACAATGTGCCAGCAAAGCCTGTCGCAGCCATCTTTTAGCTGACGCCCCTCCTGCTTTGTCCATGCACTTCGTCTGTGTTTGCACCCTTGGGCAAGCCAAAAGAACATAGATGCTCCATGGTGAGCGGTCGAAATGAAGTTTCAAGGCAGGAGCACATGACGAGGCTGGCACTAATGAACTAACAAGCTATGCAGCTATGCATTAAGCTGAGAAGATATGAGAGCACCGGCACTTGTCCACACCATTTCCTTCCTGTTCCGGAAACGAATCGCATTGACTCTCACATCACTGTAGAACGGCTCTTTGAAAGTCTTTGACCTTTTTTGCTATACAAGCCTTGGCCCGCCAGCACCAATATTCCTGGTGCTTTCAAACTGCTTCAAAGCACTGAGACTGCTACATGAAGTGCCAGCATGCTGCACTCCTTGTGTCGCAAACAACACAGCGCCTGGAAATCTAATTAATCGGGGCCTTGGAAGGTCAAGCTTGATATCTGTAGTTTCGCAAGGAACTTTCCGGAAAGTGCCTGGCCTGCACTATTCACATCATCATACATCACTCACATCTCGCGATTCACATCTTTCTTGCGGCCAACAAACATTCCCTGAATGATCTTTCCTTCACGAGCAAGTTTGGCCATAAACTCAAAGTCGGAGATCAACTTGTCATAAGCTTCATCATCCCAACCCAGCAACTTCTTCGCATCGTACACTGCTTGCAACTTCAGCATGTGCACATAGCTGTCCATGGCAGGTGAGAAGCGGCCACTGTTCTCTGCAACTTCAACCTCAAAGTGTGCCTTCTCCAGCATCTGCGCATACTCCTTCACCGTCGGGATGGCAGGGAATGTCATAAGGCTCAAGAACCTCTGCGCTTCCGGATTGGAGAGTCCCTCACCCTCGATCCAGTCCGTAAACATGACTTTTCCTCCGGGCTTCACGATGCGAGCAGCTTGATCAATGATGAGCTGTTTGTCAGGCATGTAGCACCAAGCATCCTTGCTGTACACAAAATCGGCGGAAGCATCCTAGGTGAAGCTGCAGTGCTCAATCTTTGCATCTACAAACCAGAACACGACAGATCCGGCTATGTGAAACTGTGTAGAAATATGAGGCAGTCTCAGGCAGTGTGTATGCCAGCACCAACCCATGTAATGGGAAAGATTGTATCTATATAGATTCTAGATGTATCTAGTACTATGGAGTTGTTGGCTAAGAAAGCCGCAAAGCTACAATGCTTGAAGGTCACACAGTACAACACAAGCCAAGAATCAGGGAGTCCATTCTCCAAGGAGTTCTTGTTGATGAACTTGATCTTGTCACTCAGCCCCTCTTCCTCTGTCCTCTTCTTGCCAGTCTCTACCACTGACTTAGTCAGATCCACTCCAATCATGGAGTCGACTCCAGCCAAGCGAACAAGGGTGCGCATTCCTCCACCATTGTTGCAATTCAGCTCAACTCCATTCATCCCTGGTCCGACACCAGCCTTCTTAGCCAGCTCCAAGGTGGAAGATGCAGCACCGATGTCAATCTGTTTTCCCATAACCAGCTCCCACACGCTCTGTTCTGGACCACTGTAGCATCGAGCGACTGCGTCCGCATCCGCAGCATCTTGGTCATCCAGGGTCTTCAAGGCATGGGAACTGCACCACAGTGACAACAGCGCCGACCAAACGGCAATCTGCACAAACACCATGGCGAAGACGGGAACAGATGCGTCAAAGCGCCACAGCACGAGATAGAGGCAAAGCAAGCTTTTT